GCTTTAAAAGGTAGGTAGGTTTCATCTTTAAAAAGTGTTTCCTTTTGGAAAAACAGTTCAAGGGCAAGAAAGGTAAATGGGGCCCCAAAATTTGGAGTTTAATGGGCTGGGGGAAAACCATGGGACAAAAACACCAAGAGGGAAGGATTTCAACCCCCGTGGGATAAAAGCAAAAGCAAGACGGTGACGTCATCAGCTTTTCTTAATGAGGACAGCCATCCTTCTGTTACATTTATCAGAAAAAGGCAAAAAATCCAGTGTTAAATTTATATATAATCGCTGTGGATTATTTAATTTTAGCAGTGATCAAGACTGATTTTAGATTTAGTATCGGGTTGCATTCACATGCTAGTACCAGTTTAATGTAGGTATATAATGATATTTATCTGATCTTTGTGTTGTTGTTACTCATCTTTGCCACTAGATTATTCAGGACCCAAACTTAATGTTTGCTGGTGACAGAGTTTTCTTTCCCTTCGCTGCTCCTCCTCTCTGCAGAGGGAAATGAACTGAACCCGTCGCTGGTGAAATTATACTTGGGTAAGTGGGTGCCCATGGCTTGTTTGGCCTGGAGTTGAAAATTCCCCATGCGCGCACATTAACCAATCATATGAACGGGAGAAGAGGAAAAGCTTGATGCAGCTCCTCTCTCACACAGACAGGACACACCCATTCACATATACCCTTCGTCTACTGTGTATTGTGTTATGTTATAGTGCGATGTATGCACTACCAACACACACACACATATATATCAGGCATTTATATGTCTTGCACAGCCCTCTTCTATATATAATATCTAAATGTTTGTTTGACCTGTAAGTATTCAGCTCCACCACCTCCGATTCCAAGAGTGGCTCTTTGTCTCTCAAAGTTGTTCTCGTTTTTTCTCAGTCTATTTTTTGAGGTCGGCCTTGTGTCACTACGAACGACCCCTGCGTGCCTCCGTCCTGCGGCAGAGGAGGACAGGCGAATGTTTGAGAAAGGGGGGGAAAAAGAAAGAGGAGCGTATTTGGAGCAGGAGGAAAAATTTAACATTAAGGGGTGTATTATGTGTTTAAGGTCAGTTTGTGACAAGAGAGAAGGGATCCCTGGTGTCTATTGTGTTTCCTCACGCGATTGATGCTCCGCCACAAATTTTTAAATATTATATCAGCACAGTCCACCTCGGAAGGGCTTCCCCATTTGTTGTTATAATTCATTATATAAATATTAAAAACAAAAACAAAAAACAATGATGATCAAAAATGTGTAATTTTATATATTGAAATTATATGTTATATATGTGTAGAAAATATATTATATTGTAACATGCAGAACTAATTGGACTATGTTATATATATTCAAGAATATGTGAAACGCATGGGTTAACGTATATGGTATGTGAAGCTTGGGTGATGAAAGGTTTATTATGTTGTGTGTGAAATAGTTGTCCAAACAGAACTTTAAAGTATGAGGGTGACACAGACAGTGGTGTATGTAATGTGTATATGAAGAGTGTGTGTGTGTGTGTGTGTTGTTGTGTGTGTGTGTGTGTGTGAGAAACTGTCAGAGAGAGGAAGAGGAAGAGAAATTGTTATCAGACGTCTTTACAGCTGATGGTGGCTGGGTACTGATGGTCTGCGTTTTTTTCCTTCAGCACTACTGAGCGTTTGATACTTAAGTTTATTACTGGTTAATGGTTGAACAAAGACCTCTACAGAAACAGTCAAAGACGTTGTATCATGCTGAAATAAAAAGACAGAAAAGATCATGAAAACCTATTTTCTCAGCTCAACTACGACTGATGAGGTTCTACAAAAATTAGAACATTTTACATTTGAGCTGTTCGAGGCAGTTGTGAGGTTATATTATTATTATATATAATATATATATTATAACTGTCAATCCAAGTGTAAATACAATAAATAATATTACTTTAACTTAGATTGTTTCTTATTTTCTCTTTAATATTTAGTGTTACGGACATTAAATAACACTTAAAAAAACACTTAAATAAAGACAAATTACTTCCACTTGATATTTTCTGAAAGGGTTTTAGACATCAAGTTAAAAATGTACATCTCTAATTATTTTAATGGTTAGAATTTAATATTTATGTCACGTAACTGCATTTTGCTCTGACCGATACAGGATCTTAGAGACCAGTACTGATATCGATATCTGGGAGTTTAAAAAACTAAACTAAAAACCCCAACAGAAATAGATATATTGGCTGATTTTGTATTTCTTTTTTTATTATTTAACATAAAACACACATTACTAAAATAACCTTGTTTCAGATCCTTAAGTTGTTGTTTTTTGTGTGACCAAGACACATACTGTAAATGTAATACAGTCTCAATAATCAATATTTAGTTCAATATTCAATATTATTCAATATTTATTTTTTTTATTATAGGTTGTAACTGTGGCTTTTATGTTGCAATTACCAATAATGTTCAATGACGCTGACAGGAAGCTGTCGAAATGTTACTGAATATTTGCAGTTACATCATTTCTAACACCAATAATAGTGCTCAGATTTTAATGGCTTTTAGGAATAATGTAAGGCTTCAAACAGTTTTGCTTCTTTTAATGACACTAAACTAGAAACTAAACTGTACTGAGAGAAAGAAAAGCGATGAGAGGTAAAGACAGATATGTACATCGTGTATGCGTGTGTCTGCGTTGAGACAAGCGTGTGCGGAGCGTGGCCTGGTTCTGGTGAAATCTGAGGGAGAACCTGAATACTTACAAAGAGAGAGAGAAGGAAAGCAGGAGAGGCCATTGGGACACTGTCCTGTAGGAGGACAAACATTGGAGTGAGAAAGAGAGAGAAAACACACACGTGCGTGAGAAAGCAAGTTTCATACAAGTCTGCGTCAAACACAGAAGCACTCCGAGGAACGAGCGTCCATTCGACCGCAGCACGGCACATTCACAAACACTCACGCGTCAAAGAGACAGATATCCACACATACTCAGATAGTAAATAGTAAGATATATAAAAGACAGATACACAGACGTAGATAAACACACCAGACACACACACTATACCACAGTTCCTATCATGGCCGCTATGAAATATATCATGACTTTCATCCAGTCGTAGCACTTCCATGAGCTCAAAATATAATTTTTTAATGTTGTTCAGGTAAGTGAAGTTGTGTAGAGGAACAGCTTAACTAATTTGTGGAGCATTTTCTAAAATAAATTCTGTTTAGCGAACCATTCGCAAAATTCACACATTCTTTCTGGACTTCCCAGTTAAATGTACCAAATTCCCAAATATTCCCCGTCTGGAACTCACATATCTAAATTCCATGATACTTCAAAAATGCCATGACCAACAGGAAGCCTGTTTTATATACACACACTCACAACTCCCACATTCACACAATTGAGACAAAGTAATATACACACCCACACACAGAGAACAGCAAACATGAACGTTCATTGCGGACAACAGCAGACAAACAGTTGAGTCAGTGACAGGCAGATGCAGACAGACAGAAGTTAGTGAGGAGAGGTGCAGCCAACATGCAGGACATGAATCAGCTGGGAAGTCAAAGACTAGGAATTATTCCACTGAAGCACATTGCAGCGAGCGGAGAGGAGAGTGGACCCGGTGGCAGACAACCGCACCGAGCTGACCAGATGTCTCCAACTGTCCCATGTATTCAACAACGTGTGTTGGTCTGACTTGTATGATGCCGATGTGAATGCAAATATATCATCAGTGTCAAGATTTTGAGAGAAAGGCACCAAAATTATCTGCCGTGTGTCCTCATTGGTTCTGGTACTTCACATTTCAGCATACATTACACTGAGTGACAGCGGCTACACATGAACAAATGAGTGTACCATGATTCAGTTACAGTAAGGTTGTAATTATCCAAAATGAGAAGACTAAAGCCTTTGTTTGAGTTGAGTCGAGGTTCTTTAAATATATAGATATAAAAAGTAGCACGGATTCAGCAGACATGATGTACTGAGGTATATTGTTCAATGTAATGTCAAGTAAAATGTCAAACATTGACCCATTTTCTTTACGGTTGAATTCTTAACAGAACAGAGAAACTGGAGTAACAGTTTCCTAATATAATAATATAATAATATATAATCTAAGGTAGTTCAATTTACATTTAATCACATCAGCAAACTGTCCCATTTGGATGGAAAGAAACACACACACACTTCATCAGTGGTGATCAATACTGTTTTAGGATCAAATACATAATCTGAAAATGATACGACAAGAAACAAAACTTGAACAGCAAAAGTCAATCCAAAGGCCCAGAATTTATAATACAGTATATGTTGCTCTTAATCCATTAAAATAGTCCAGGGGTAATAAACGTTGGCCGTCTTGGTCAGTCAAGACACGTTGAGCATTAGCAAAGTGTATATAGAGACACATTTTAGTAATAATATGAGAACCAGACTGACCACAACAAATCAAAACTATGGCCACAAGACTTTAAAAATGACATTCTGCTAAGTAACAAAGGAATTCAGTCAGTGGATGAGATATCCTTTCAATACTGTAAATGTATTTTCATACAGGTTCTCTGTTTGCCACCAGTAGCAGGAGAAAACATGGTCATCAAACTACATCAGCGGGGGAAAAGTGTAAAGTCAACAGCATCCATCTCTCTGAAACCTTTAACCACCTGTAAGTAATCAAAGTTATTCTCATTAGACCTCTTCTCGGGTTAAAGTTATGTGGAGCTACTGAATGCATGGAGCTTGCTGAGCTCACCAAAGTACATATATCTCTGTTCAACAAACACCTGAGTGAGTGGACCACAGCAGGTAAGCTGTTACAGTCGCTCCTCCCAAAAACACTCTACATATTTCACAGTTGAGTTTCAAACATTGACAGTGACATTTGTGGATTGGGAGGTTTACACGGCGCATTATCAAAAAGACTTGTTTGACACAGATTTCTAAGGGAATTCTTATTCGACCCCGACCAAGTCACCCAACCCACCTTCTCAGCCGGCTCCCCAGGCTTACGATTTCCCTCCCTGCCGCGGAGGCTCTTGGCGGAGATGGCGCTCTCTGAGGTCTGCATGATGAGTTGGGTGGCCAAGAACTGCTGGACGTGCTCCAGGACGTCCCGCTGCATCTCCAGCGCCATGTGGTACACGTCATGGTCCGACGAGTTGTACATGACGGCATTCTGAAACATCAGCATGATGTCGCGCTGGAACTCAGCCGTTGTACGGATCACACCGGACTCGATGTTCTTCTTGATGGCGGACAGGTCCATAGGTCTGGAGCAGCACGGGAGGGGGAGGTGTATTTATTAATTCTATTTGTACAATCAACATAATTTACCATTGTTTAGCTTATTCCTATTTGCTGCAAGGGAGGATTTTGGTGTGGTGTGAAAGCTCTTTGGATTCTCTGCAGCACGTGTCAGAATACATTGGGTGCATGCGAGGTGTAATTTGATTAAAACAGCCAGTGTAGTGCACGTTGTGTGTGAGTTCTTACCTGTGTACAATGCTGTGGTAACCAGGGGCGATGTCGTCTGACACAGGCTGCAGGAAGACGCTGGCATACCTGAGAGAAACATGAATTCAGTAACTATAAAACACCCGTTTTTCCTTCAACAGGTTTTTTCTGCAGCGCTTTCATTCCAGACCAGACTACGTTTTGTCAAAACTTGGTCTACATGAACAAATGCAGGATAAACAATAAGTAATGGGGTTCAGTATAGATTTAGGCCTAACTAAATGACTATGATTTTAGTAATACATACTGCTTTGTCTCCTCTTCTGTCTGCACTTACGGGGAAGAGTACACAGTCTACTATTTCACATAGTGGGGATTTACACTCTTCATTTCACAACAGAAAACATGACTGATCAGCTGAATGAACTAAAATGTGGAAAAAATACAGCCTAGTCAACTTTTTTTTGAGGTTGCACTAGGGGCCCAGACACTGACGACCTCAGTATTTTTTTAAATCCTGGGTACAGCCCAGTATTACTGCAGCACAAATGTACATAATAAGACCAATATCCGATAATACTGATCATCTTTTGTTAGCCAAGAAGTCTCCTGCTATATGATGTCATGTGATGTCTCATTACAAAAAGGAGACCCTAAAATTGAGGTGCTAAAAAACCTTCTGAGGTTGACTGGGAGGTATTGCTGAGGTTTATTTCATAGTTGAGGTTGAGGCATTCAAAGAAACTCCACCTGTGGTTGGCTGCGGCTCTCCACACCAGCATTATGGCTTTTTTCCAGATCTTCTGGGCCTGGACTGCCTCCTGGTCCTCACCACATGTCGATCTGTTGCAGAGAGAGAAGGAAAAGAGGAAGTGAAGACAGAGTGGGAACGAAGAGAGGATTGTAAAGTCCGCGGTGAATGGAAACGGGAAGTAGAAGAGAAATCACAAGTAGCAGAGAGACAAAAGCACATTTTACTGTCAGCAGCCAAAGACTGCTTAACTCAGAGAAATGGAGTCAAAATCTGATTCAGAGGTCACGACATGAGTACTCATGACAAATGACAGCTAAGCTTTATCTTCATTTCTCCTAATGTTTTCAGTTGGGGCAAGGGTTATTCTAGGACAGGGGTCAACAACCTTTAATAAAAAAAAGAGTCAGCAGCGCTGGTGGTGAAACCAAACAAATCTGCCCACGCACTGTTAACACACGAGACGTTTCTTTTTTTAGAATTTGGAGTAGTAATAATTAAGTAAGTTTGGAGGAATAGTTAGCTAGATTGGGGGACTCAAGAGTAGTAGACACCACTATTGAGGTTCAGCTAAATATAGAGGAAAAGGCACCAGGTCTGGAGTTAACGTATGATGAACATTATAGATGAAAACATTTTAAAATGTTTTTTTTTTATTTGTTGTAAAAGCCGCAGGTTGTCTACCCCTGTTCTAGGACATGGCCGTGGACTCACACAAGGCTAAATAGTGTGTAATAGATAAAAATTAATTATCACAGTCCTTTCTGGAGCCATGAACACATGTGGACACCTACAGCTGGGAAGAAGAGGCCGGGCTGCTGGCCAGTGAATCAGCTGTGTAGCGTTGGGACGGCGGGCCGTAACCGTCTTCACTCTCGCTGGCTGCCCGCTCCACCTCAGACAGATAGGGACCCTCCCCCTCCCCGCACTCCTCCTTCAACTCAATCCCCTCTTCTGGGTCACCCTCACTCCCCGCCTCCTCCTCCTTCACCTCCTAGATTTGAGAACACATACACACACACACACACACGTACTCTGAGTAAAATTACTGTTTCACAAAGGTTGTGCATGTGTGTAAGTGGGCAGAAGTGTTTTACCTTGGACTCTTTCCCAGACACAGAGCTGTCCTCAGAGTCTGTGGGACAAAAATGAGAAGAGGATTAGAAACACATCAGTATATAATCATGAATGCTGTGTGTGTGTCTACATAAGTACACCACCCACCTAAGCAAGGTGGGTTGGGCTCTGGCTGGCTCCATTCCTCTCCTTCACTCTTGACAGTTGCTTCAGTGGTCTCTTTCCCTGCCGCCCCCTCCTCTGTAACCTCACTTCCTGTTGCACCGTCGTCAGAGGTGACAGAGGAGATGATATCACTTCCTGCCACCTCAGGTCCCTCGCAGTTTCCCTTGAGCTGTTCTTCTCTTTTATTTTCTGGTTGATTCTGGGTGTCTATGCCTGCAGGGATCATAGCGGACATTGCAGTCACATCCTGAGGCTCCTGTGTGGAATCCGTGTTTTGGACTGTGGGTGCTGGGTCCGAAGACTTCAGCTCCTGGGTCTCCCAGGGGCCAGGGAGGGTGTGTCCCTCTGAGACGGCCTCTTCACACAGAGAGAGAGCTGCTTCCACTGCTGCTGCATCCAAGGCTTCCACAGAGTCATCGACCTGGGGAGAAGAAGGTAAGGACAGAGAAAAGACAGAAATGAAAAAAGACTGAATGAATTTCATACTGAAAAAACACTGCAATGGTTACCAAACGACGGGAGGATTTTGTTATAAGGCATCAGAATAAGAAAACAAATTTCAAAGCCTGGTGCTTCAATGTGTTTATACATCACTCTTCCACCTACTGGTGCAGTTACAGATTTTCATACTCCTCTTTGATTGTAAATAATGCAAACTGATGTGGAGCCTTTTACAAATAAACACAGTATGTACCTTCTCCTCTATGATGGCAATGATGTCTCCTACTGTTTCCAGATCCAATTCGTCTCCCATGTAAGATACGGCTACAAGGTCCTCTTCTACTAATCCTGTTTCCTCTTCGAGCTCTGGCTTCACTGCAGCTTCTGCTTCTCCCTCTGCAAACACACACAGAGAAAGAAATAATACAGACACAATAAAAACCTGCAAAATCACACTGCAAAGTTGTAAGTCATTATTGGGTCTGAACCCAGTTTATTTATCTTCTGTACACCACGAACACCTACAACCAGACCTAACAAGAGCTGGTTAAATAGATTGTTCATCTATCTACTTTTGACTGCATCACACATCATTTCTGAGAATAAATCCCACTTGGCAACAAAGTTTAAAGTCATATGTGGGCATATTCTCATTATCTTTTAAAGATTCATGAATGTTTGTGGCAATGAAAGCCACTGCGCTACAATAGCCAGAATCCAGTCTCATGTAGCAAGAAACAGCAAGTGTGTGAACAGTTATGCAAATGTACCTGTGATGACTTCATGACCAGGTGGTAAGGCGGTGACTGCGGTGGCTGTTTGCACTCCATTGGTGAGGCTTCCAGTAGAGTCTCCCTCCCCAACCTGACATCAATAAATACAAAAATAAAACTTAAGTGAGGTTTTACGTAGCTCTATGACTTCTACAGTGACCCAGTGGGAAATAAAGTTAAATACCGGTAATATTAATTGACATTAAATTAGAATACTGCAGTAAGATCGGTTGCCTATGAATCATTACCACTATAAAAAAGTAAATGTAATAAGATAACATAAGACTGTAAGCTGAAAACCTGTAACTCTTGAAAAGCTGCATAATCTATCATCTACATCCTCATTAACCAGCCATTTAAAACTAATTAATAATTTAATTAATACTTTGTGAGTACCTTTTGTACGGCACAATGACATTTTAAAAGTATTCCTACATCTTAGGTTTACAGTAGCATTCAATTAATTAGTGTCTATAGTGTATATCACAGGGAACATAATTAAATAAAGTAACTTTGAATTAAATACAGTAACTTTGAGGCATTTACAACTGAGCCTTGCTTGTTCCTTTATTACTTCTATGCTATTTTTAATTCCTGGTAGTTTCGGATGTAATGATCCCGGCTCAGCTGGCACTCACCAGACGGGGGCTGGCTGAGATGAGGTTGCCTTTTTTCAGCAGTTCTGACAGCAGAGGTGAAGGTGGCGGTGTGGCCTTCTGGGCTAGGAGCCTCTTTTGTGATGAATCATCTACTAGAGCAGCAAGGCCTCCATCTTTGGGCCCTGGGCCTGGAGCATCAGTCGCTGGTAGAAACACTCCGACCCCCTGGGCCTGGCAGAGGCAAAGAATCAGTGAGAGTGGTTGGCATAGTGAGCTGCAATATCTGAACTATTTTCTTCCAGATGGAGCTGGGATTGCCAAAACCACCATAATGTGAGATTATCTTTTTCCACTGACTCATAATGAGACCCATAGAGAGTCCACAGTGCTGATTTCAGTCAAGAATACCCTATTTAACGCACATTTCTCTCAGTAACGGCAGTATTCCTGGTATTCCCTATAAGACAAACACTGTTCTATATGAGTTTGTCCTTACAACTGAGTGTGTGGTGGTGGTTGTGGTGGTGGTGGTGTCATCGGAGGCAACACCTCCTGTGTCCATAGGCGGCGTGGGGACCGAAGAGTCAGCCTGAGTGTCCATGGTGGGGGGGCTGGCACCCAAGGGAGAACGTACAGTAACACTAGGCAGACGTTTAGGTGTGTTTTTCACCGCCTGACGAGCTGTGATGGAGAGAGAAGGTCAGAGGGGGTGAGAGAGAGAATGAATCAGTCTCTTTTTTAAGTGGAAGGAATCAGAAAAAAAAAACTGCAGCACAGAAACCATGAGCAAGGCATCATGTGATAACACTGTCGTTCCAGCCAAAGCAAGTCAGAAAGAAACAATCGCTTGTCTTAGCAAGTAGTTAAAAAAAAAAAAAACTATTCCAAGAAGTAGCTGTGGACGTATTCTGTTGCAGACTTGTTGGATTTAGACTGGGTAATACACTGGGCTCATATGGGTAAAAATCTTGTTATACCACATCTTCTTTGTTGGATTTGGTGTTGTGTCTATGTGTGCCCCTTTTAAATCAAATATTAAGTAAATTCAAGTATAAGTTCAGAATAATGCTCACATATTTCAGATGTAATAAAGAAAAATGACATATTTCAAAAGAAGCTCTAAACAGTGTGCAGACCGAACCCACCTTGGTACGCTGTCTCTGTGGCTTTCCTCTTCTGTTCTGCTTCCTCCTCATCCTGCTTCTTCTTTCTAAGGTTGGGCAATCACACAGTTTAACAATTAACAATTGTGGAAGATGGTTTATAGGACGGTATAATGGCATAGAGGACAGAGGTATGATTGTAGCTGAAGGCTGCAGGTTTGAATTGCAGAAGCAGCTGTGTGAACCCTCTCCCATGCTTTGTAACAATAACTGTTCAGGAGTTACTGAGCAATTACCTGCTCCAATGTTGGTGTCTGAAATCACCCCCTTGTTCACAACTGCCCTCTATGTGACAGACACTCAGTAGTTTACTCAACAAGAGAAGAATTCGCACACTTATGAGTCATCGTCTTATGTCATCACTGTCACACACTGAGTCACACAAAGTCATTTTTGCATCCATAGCATAAAAAAGGGTAATAGCATAAAATAAAGGGTGAATGTGATGCACTATATTATAAATAGGAAGTGATTTCAGGCACTGCCTAAAGATTTACTGGACTAAAGTCTTGCGTGTGATGTTTAGCATACTACAGCAGCATTAAGTACAGCTGAGGACGATGAACTGAAACTATGGACCAGCTTACATCATATGAGAATCATGGACGTCTGTATAAAACATCATGGAAATCCACCTGACTGCTGTCAAGGTATTTCACTTCCTGTGTCATTGTACTGAACCGACCAACCAACATTACTATTGGTAATCCTGGAGTGTGACGGATTAAAGATCTACCTTTCCACTTTGAATTTGAGAAGTAAAATAGTAATTGTATAGAAAGAAATAATTTAAAACAATCAGTATCAAACAGAACAACAGTCGTACAGTGTGATCTCTGCCCACAGCTCCTTCAGCTGGGAGTCCATGTGACCCGTCTGTATCAGATCCACCTCCTTTTTCAACTTCCTGTCCGGACAGAAAGCAAATGAGGGTTAGAGGTCGGGTCTCACAGTCCGCAAACGTCTTTAAAGTAGCCTCATTTTAAATGTGCATGTACCTGTACTGCTCTTGTGTGTCTCGCAGTAGTTTCTTCAGTTCCTCTATCCTCTCTGTGGTGAGCCTACGAACGATGACATCTTCAATGGTTTCAACCACCTCACCCTTTTCACCACGCTTACGCCTGGAGCAAAGGAGGGCACGGACACTTTAAGTCAACTCACAAAATAGTTCACCCATGATAAAAAAAAAAACACACACATTATTATAATTCTTCACATGGGAGTGTCTGTATTATATTACTGACTTAGGTGCTTCTGTGGCTTCCAGCAGTTCGGAGTATTGTGAGGCACAGTGCTGAGAAACAGAGAGACAATGTGTTATCCTGAGGCCAATGTGAGTCATGGTCTGAGAAGAATTCGACAGTCATCTGCTCAAAAAAAACAAAACAAGCGCAGAAAATGTTGGTTTGTAGCTTTCTCACCTTCTGTGAGAACCAGTCAGGTGGACGACCAGGCTCTGAGAAAGGCTTGATGGCTCTACTTACAGAAACCCTGGAGGACAGAGAGAAATTCATCAGAATAAACACACATGTTGGGAAAACAATCATGTGGTAACTGATTTAAAAAAATCAAACAGGAATAAATTAAGATATGTGAATGAGGTCCAGGGTGAAGTCATGACGTGAACACTTTAAAAACACTAAATCCTGGACAGTATTATGCCACAACTGTCAAAAGCACACCACGATGATCCATTTGTATTTGTTCCTACACTATTATTTCTTTTTGTTTTTCTTTTTCAGGTGGTACATGACTGTGACAATCAATAAGCAGAGGATCTGACCGGTTCCTGGTTACACTATCACTTGCCTAAGACTGACCTCTAGTGGTGAGAACTGAGATTCAACAGCACACATACTAGTATTATCCAATATGTATATATATGTATATACAGTATGTAATAATGTATATGAGCTTATATGCTTATTTTTAAAGAGAAACACTTTTATTCTGCCTCTTTTATTAAGAAAAATCCAAGTGTGTTGTGTCAACCAAGGCTGATTCCCTTCTTTGTTAATGTAGATAGATCATTGTTGTCCAAGAGTAAGTAAAAAAAGGTTGAAGATACTTGGACTGATTGGTTCACAGTGAATATTTTGCGTCCTTTTATAAACTTTAATGTTATACGGAGATACTTGATCTTTATTCCACATTTTACATTTTATATTAAATATCAGCGCACAAAACTGACAGCTTATATGTGAAGATATTATTTAGATTCATCACTTCAGGTGAGTTTAAAATGTTCTTCAACACTGAAACCTTAAAGAAAACAGCTTATAACACGATGTAAGCCACTGTGCTATAATAATACTGCCTAATGTTTAAAAAAAATAACAAAAACTGTTGATTTTAAATGCATATACCCTTAAAAAGATAATACCAATGCCTCCTCTGTACTACTTACTACTGCTGTTCTCATTAATCACTGTCTGACTGCCTTTTTGTGAACAGAAAAAACATTTGAGAAGCTTTCTTTTCTTTTCTTTTACCAGTTTTGGTCGCCGCTCCTCATAACAGAGGAGGCCAGGCACAGTTTCTCCCTGACCGACCATGGCTCTGTTGGCCCCACATTCAGTATCTTGTGTTCTGTGGAGAAAGAAGCACAAAACACGCAGAGAAATTAAAACATATCCAGCAGAAATGATTAAAGTCCTCAGAAAACCACAGAACAAATAAAAAATGTGGTTAATTTCGCTCAAACTCTGAGAAGTAAACACATTATACACAAAACAACACGTCAAAATACATAACACGGATTAAAAAAAAAGACATGGTAATTCATTAGAGTGCTTTCTGTCAGAGCTGATCATTTAATATTTGATTAATTTCAGATTTTACATTAACATTAATTATTCTCAGGTTGAGCAGATAACGTCATTTGTTTTGTTTCTCCTGAGCAATAACTTCATCACAACAGCAAACATTAAATTACAGTCTTGTCCCCATGCAACCCTAACTAACCCATACAGTCTGTACACATAAATATATAAATATAAAACGCACCGCAGCAGACTTTTAAGGGTTTTTATTTATCGTAAATTAGCTCTCTACCTAGCTCCCGTTAGCTACATGATGCTTCCAAACATTTATTATGGCGATTATTAATTCTCCTGCAAGTGCACGGGGTTTAAAAACACATGCATTTAATGATTAATAGCTGTAACTCGTGGTTCTGCAGACAATAACACACTTATATTAAAATATTAACGTTAGCTTAGCAATGTTGATTACGGGGAGAGGGGGGGGGGGGGACACATTAATGAGACACACA